CCTCCTCTCTCCCCCCCCTCCTCTCTCCCCCCCCCTCCCCTCTCCCCCCCCCCCCCTCCTCTCCCCCCCCCCCTCCTCTCTCCTCCCCCCTCCTCTCTCCTCCCCCCTCCTCTCTCCTCCCCCCCCTCCTCTCTCCCCCCCCCCTCTCTCTCTCCCCCCCTCCCTCTCTCTCCCCCCCCCCTCCTCTCTCTCCCCCCCCCCTCTCTGTCTCTGTCTGTGTGTGTGTGTGTGTGTGTGTGTGTGTGTGTGTGTATATATATATATATATATATATATATATATATATATATATATATATATATATACACACACACAGTAATACCTCAAATTTAATTCATTCTGCAGGACTTTTCGTGTAGCGAAAAATTTGTAAACCGAAGCGCCGTTTCCCATAGGAATGCATTGAAAACCAATTAATCCATTCCAAAGGTCAGAAAACCGTAAACTCTTCTAAAATACCGCATGAGTTATTTTATCAAGTCATTCAGTATTTTAGTAGTGACAACCATGTGTTAATGTTTCCGCTGTCAGCGGGGTTCCCCACTGACAGCTGAATGTAAAATAATTGCCGGCAATTAAAAAAAAAATTATTAAAAACCGACTTGGGGTCCCTCCTCGCCTCCATACCAAGCCATTCGGGTCTGGTATGGATTTTGAGGGGAACTTCCACTCCAAAACTTTGAAAAAAAATGGGGTGGAGTCAGCCCCCCCCTCCATACCAGACCCTTATACGAGCATGCAGGTCAGGAAAGGAGGAGAGGACGAGCGAGCTCCTCCCCACTCTTGAACTATACGAGGCCACATGCCCTCAACATGGTGGGGTGCTTTGAGGCAGGGGGGGGCACCCCCCAAAGCACCTTGTCCCAATGTTGATGGGGACAAGGGCCTCTGCCCTACAACCCTGGCCGGTGGTTGTGGGGGTCTGCATGCAGGGGGCTTATCGGAATCTGGAAGCTCCCTTTAACAAGGGGGCCACCAGATCCCCCCCCCCCCCCCATGTCAATGCGTGTGGTTTACATGGTACCCCTACTCATTCACATAAAACAGTGTAGTGTAAAAAAAAGACAGGACACTGTCTTTGACAAGTCCTTTATTAAAAGAATGTTCCCTGCAATAGAACAAACGTCAATTATGACGCCCACCGTCACTGCCGCTGTCCTGAGCAAAGAATAATAATAAAAAAAAAAAAAAAAAAAAAAAAAAGGTTCTGCTCCCGACGATTGTTTCCAGTCGTCTGTTTCTGAGGTGGCTTGACAGTTCTTAAGGGGCGGGGCCACCCAGGGACATCACCTGAGTGACCCCACCCCATGTGACATCACCCGAGTGACCCCACCCCTTACATATTTAAGAACTTTCAAACCACCGGAGCTGGCAGATGGCTGGAAGCTATTGTTGGGAGCTGAGCGCCCCCCCCCCCCCCTTTTTTTTTTTTTTTTAATTCTTTTTTTTCGGGTCTGCGGCAGTGGAGGTGATGGTGAGCATTGTGATTGACGTTGGATCTACTGCGGGGGACATTGTTTCTTTTTAGTTTCTTAGAAGAAACAATGTTACCATTAACTCTGGGGAAAGTGATAGCCAATTCTGTGAGCTATAGTGAAGAAAAAAAAAGCGCTGGCAATTGCATTTAAAAATCGGCACCAACATACACTTCGTATTGGAAAAAAAAAAATTTGTAAACTGAGGCATTATTATCAATGGGATAAACAAAGGTGTTACGCCAAGTAAATAGATACCAAACATGTCACACTTTAAAATTGCATATGCCCATGGAACGGCTCCCTGATGGGAAGGGAGAGCAAGGTAAACGTAGATAGGGGGTTGTGAACCCTTTCCACCACCTGTAAAAGTAATTTGCAGCTGTTTAGCCACTTGGATCACTTTGGCTGTGTAAGGAATTGCCGGTTGTAAAAAAAAAAAAAAAAAAAAAAAGTAGTTTCACGATCGTCATTACAGATGCAGCAATGACTGAGATATTGAATATTAAGTCCTGTGCGCTACCACTATGAGTCAGAACTATATCTGTAGCTTATTACATGGGCTATGCAGCCAAAATTATCTGTATACTCAACATATATTGTGTTTTTAGTTGTATGGTTGTTGTGTGGTGCTTAATCCTATTTATTATGATGGGATAGTGACTATTGGATTTGCATGTTCTATCTCATCGGCACTGGGAGAGCTTAAAGTGTTACTAAACCCACAGCAGTAAAATCAAACTGTATTTGCAGTGAAGCATGCTTGTTATACTCACTGTGAAACCTAAGGGGTTAATCTGCACTGTGTAAAAAGGCTGTTTTGATCCTCCCTTTCTTTTACGGTTTGCTGTCCCCAATGCATCTGCCATGGTACAGAGCCCTGTGAGGCACTCTGCGCAGGCTCAATTGGGTGTATTGCTAGATTTTTTTTTTTTTTTAAAGGGTGCATGTCGTCAGCAGAGGGCCAATCACCACTCTCCAGACAGAGGTGCAGGGGTCATGCAGCCTAATAGGGCAGTCAGAGTAGAATGAAAACTCCTCCTACAAGCTTTAACCAGTGCTAGGCCAGACTGATAGAAGTCTCAAAACTGTTATAAACTGCTAAATACCTTTTCTCATAAGCTGTGTATATGTACAAATTTGCATTTCCATGTTGTGTGTACTGTGGGAGACCAGATATAGTGAATGCAGGGTCCCAGGTTTCGTAACCCTTTATGCATTGCAGTGTATGTATTTGAGCATTTTCAATACACTTTTGCAATTCTTGAGGGGAGCACATTGTGGAATTCATGTACGCTGTAAGTTGTGTTTGTGTTTTAGCAGTTGCAACACTGGGATTCTGGGGTTACCACCCAGTAAATGAAGAAATGGGATTGTTTGTATAAGACGCTATTGGTAGCCCTTAATTCACACACACATATATTGTCTCACACATGTTTGTTTGCATATATTGCAGTTAAATAGGATTAAGCTCCGCACGCCCATACAAATGACCAAGATATTGGCATCACTTCCCGAGGACCGCTATGTACGTACATCAGATGGGAATTGGTTTACGTTGACATGGATAAAAAATTGGAGGCCCTCTTTTTATCCTTTCTCTGCAGTAGGAGCAGTTAGTATGAGCAGTTCTGCACCTGGTAGTATTATTCCAATCCAGGGCAAAGCGTTTTGTCTGTTCCAGAGACTGGAATATTTTCCGATTTATATCTTTCCGTTTTCTCATTGGATGCTGTGGTAAAAGTGTGCACTAAACCTGTTCACATGAGAAAGGATCCTGTGGTTTAATTGTTGGTTGGTGGATCATCTTTGCAGGCAGCAAACTGGGAGGCTGTACTTTTTAATGATGAATGCTTGTTTGAACTATCCGTAGAGGCCTTCATCCAGAAGGTGACAGTGGGTGAAAGCATGTTACGTCTATAAAAGGTTGACAAACCGGAAACCAGTGACACCTTCAGAATTCAAGAAGAGTTCCTTTCATAAGCAATCCACCTGTGGCTGTAAGAAGTACTCCAATCTGTTCATGGTTCCTGAGCTAAAAATATACTATATCAGGCCTATTCTGAATGTCAAATGTCTCTACAGGTTCCTGAAAATGCAAAGCTTCAGGATCCACCCAGTCAGTGGTTTCTTGGTTTGATCAGGTCTGAGGAAGAAGCACCGCTTCAAAACGCGTTACCGCCCACCCACGTCATCACGTTCCTATGCCGATGTCACAACCGCCCTGGTGCCATTTGCGTTCCACGCTGGTTCCCTGTGGCAGCTGGCCGCTCCTGGACACCTTTCCAGTCATAACCTGATGCTTTCATTTGAGGCATGGATATCGCTTGTCCTCCATAGCTTCCTGGGATTCTGGACTACGTCTCGTGACGTGCTTATTTCCTTTACTTGTGAGTTGCTAATCATTTTGCAAATAAATTGTATACTTAATGCTGCACTTAGTCCGGCACCGCTCTTCTTTTCTGTTACAGGTTCCAGTCTTCTATCCTGCTTTAAGGACACTTTTCTTTGGCAGCATTGCTGTTGAAGCTCCAGTCCTGTGGAACAGGGAAGTTTGATACAAATATCCCTCCCCTCCTCATAGTTAGTATTTGACCATTTGGATGGTGTACCATTGTAAATTAAAAACTGTTCACTTGGTGAAAGTATGTTGACTAGCATATTTTGGCTTTTTCCCAGTCCGGTGTTCAGCTGTATCTGGATTTAAGAATGGTCAAGAGGTTTTGGCCTTGACCATTCATTTAAAGACCGATCGTGTGTCTATTCTTGGTTAAAGCCTTTGTTCAGGGTGTCACACAGATTGTTCTACCTGTGTCTCTGCGAGTCCTAGTGTGGTCTGGTCTGTTTTGCAGTTTTTCTCCTTTTGAAGATTAAGATATTCCGTTGTTGCTCTTAAAGTGCAAGGTTGTCTTTTTGGTTGCCCTTACCTCTTCTCTCAGGGTCTGAGTTGGCAGTGCTTTCCTGCAAGGAACCTTTCTGGTTCTTCACCATAAGATGTGTTGCCGTCTTATTCCTCTTTCCTTCTTAAGGTGGTTTCTTTGTTCCAGCTGAATCAGGACATTGAGTTGCTATCTTTTTGTCCTAATCTAGAGCATCCTAAACAAAAGGGGATTTACTCTTTGGATGTTAACTGTAGCTTCACTTTTACATTCTGATTCTTTGTTCTACCCAAGGATCCTTGTAAGGCTCAGGCTACTTCTTGATCCACTATTTATTATTGGATTTGTCAGCTCATTTGGTGGCAGCATGACCCAAGTTGCAATGAATGGGAACTCCTGTTTCCTGTGATCTCGAAGAAAAGGATTTTTACAGGTAAACCAAAAATCCACATTTTTGCTGAGCTTTAGTCTAGTTGTGCACCAAAAGGCTTTTTAACTGCAAATTTTTATTTTATTTATTTATTTTTTTTAAAGATTGCATAATTTAAAAAAAAAAAAAATCAAGGTCCTTTTTAATTTTGTATGTACAGGAATAAATTTGTGTTTTTTTTTTTTTTTTTTTTTTTTTTTTTTTTTTTGTATATAGGGAGAGGATTACATTTGCAGCTACTCGACCATCCTCTATATTGATTGAACAGATTGCAGTGTGTGTCAATAAAGGAGAGCCTGTTTTGTTAGTGGGAGAAACTGGAACTGGCAAAACCTCCACAGTCCAATATCTTGCTCATGTTGCAGGTAATTAAAGTGTATTGTGAGTTTCCTAAAGAAAAGGATTTATTTCTTCAGATTACGTGAGAATATTGTAGTGCTGTGTTTAACTGCTGAAAAGAAATGACATCAGTTTGCGGCCATAAAATAAATACTTGGAGGGGAGATATAATAACTCATAAATGTAAAAATGAGTTTTAGAAATGTTGCTTGCACATCTCTTTTGAACCACACTGATCAGCCATAACATTATGACCACCCCCCATAATCAAGGCATGGACTCCACTAGACCTCTGAAGGTACGCTGTAGTTTCTGGCACCAAGTCATCAGTAGCAGATCCTTTACATCTTTTAAGTTGCAAGGTGGAGTCTCCATTGGTTGGACTTGATTTTCCAGCAAATCCCACAGTTGCTCGATCTGATTGAGAGTTAGAAAACTTGGATGCCAAGTCAACACCTGATGCTTTTTAGTATTAAAACCATTCTTGAATTCACCAGGACAGGCCACCTTCTCCCATTGCTCTGTTGTCCAGTTGATGCACACATGTACTTTGTTCTAAATCTCCGTGCCCTCCTTGCTGACTTTGACTGCTGTTCCCAGCAGGGGGCTCTATATACATGTCAGCAGACCATGTCTCATCAATGGTTTACAGGGGATGTAGGGGTTGGAGGGTCCCAGATACTTAAGGTAGGGAGAAGACTGGGTGCAGCCTTTTGTGCAGTGTATGCTCTGGAGGTCCGTTTACTCCATTTGACTCTTACTCTTTTTTTTATATATCTGGTATTTTCACTACTTCTGGGGCATTTTCCTCCATTTCCTTTGTGACGAGGAATTCTCATACTATGGAACGGACCGCCAGGGTCACAAATGGAAGCATTCCCCCTCTCCTTCCCACTCCTTAATGAAAAAGGAACCAATGGTGGATGAGGTTGAGGAAGACTCCTCATCAGAGCAGTCTACTCTTAAAAGAACCCGGGTCCAGAAGCGCGGGGGACCAGAGTAGAGGAGGATCCGGACTGCTTTGTGCAAATCCACTGCACAGAGCAGGTAAGTATGACGTGTTTTTTTTTTTTTTTTTTTTTTTTTTTTAAACAAAGACTTTAGTATCACTTTAATTGAACAAGCTGAAGTTAGTAACTATGCCCAACTGCCCCGGATTCTCCACCATTTTTAGTAGATCTTCCCCACCATTTTTAGTAGATCATGCATCTTGCCCAGTGTCCACTAAAAAATCTGAAAAAAAAAAAATCAGTTTTTCATTGCTCTATTATGTGTGTTACACACCCTTGTTAAAATGTCAGGTTTCTGTGATGTAAAAAAATGAGACAAAGATGAATCATTTCAGAACTTTTTCAACCTTTTTAATGTGACCTTTTTAAACTGTTTAACTCAATTTGAAAAACAAACTGAAATGTTTTAGGTAGGTGGGGGGGGGGGGGAAGTAAACATACCCTATTATAACTGGGGATGTAGCGGTTTTCAGAATTAAGCAATCATATTTAAAATCGTGTTAAATAGGAGTCAGTACACACCTGCCATCTCTTAAAGTGCCTCTGATTAACCCCAAATAAAGTTCAGCTGTTCTAGTAGGTCTTTCCTGACATTTTCTTAGTCGCATCTTATGGCAAAAGGCATGGTCCATAGAGAGCTTCCAAAGCATCAGTGGTGATCTCATTGTTAAAAGGTATCAGTCAGGAGCAGGGTACAAAAGAATTTCAGAGGTATTAGATATACCATGGAACACAGGGACGACAGTCATAAAGTGGAGAAAATATGGCGTAACACTGACATTACCAAGAACTGGATGTCCCTCCAAAATTGATGAAAAGACTAGAAGAAAACTGGTCTGGGAGGCTACTAAGATGTCTACAGCAACATTAAAGGAGCTGCAGGTATATCTGGCAGTGTGGTACATGTGACAACAATCTCCCGTGTTCATATGTCGGCTATGGGGTAGAGTGGCAAGACTGAAGCCTTTTCTTACGAAGAAAAACATCCAAGCCTGGCTAAGTTTTGCAAAAACACATCTGGAGTCTCCCAAAAGCATGTGAGAAAATGTGTTCTGGTCTGATGAAACTAAGGTTGAACTTTTTGGCCAGAATTCCAAAAGATACGTTTTGACGCCCAAAAAACACTGCACATCACCAAAAGAACACCATACCACACAGTAAAGCATGGCGGTTGCAGCAGCATGCTTTAGAGCTGTTTTTCTGCAGCTGTAACTGGGGCTTTAGTCAAGGTAGAGGGAAGTATGAACCGTTCCAAATACCAGTCAATATTGGCACAAAACCTTCAGGCTTCTGCTAGAAAGGTTAACATGAAGAGGAACTTCATCTTTCAGCATAACAACCCAAACCATACATCCAGATCAACAAAGGAATGGCTTCAGCAGAAGATTAGTTTTTTTGAGTGGCCCAGCCCAGAGCCCGGACCTGAATCCGATCAAAAATCTGTGGGGTGATCTGAAGGGGGCTGTGCACAGGAGATACCCTTGAAATCTGACAGATTTGGGGTGTTTTTGCAAGGAAGAGTGGGCAAATATTGCCAAATATTGCCAAGTCAAGATGTGCCATGCTGATAGACTCTTACCCAAAAAGATTGAGTGCTGGAATAACATCAACTGAGTTGCAGTTTATAGGTTACATTAAAGGTGGAAAAAGTTCTGAAATTATTTCTTTGTCTCATTTTTGTACATCGCAGAAACCTGTAATTTTAACAGGGGTGTGTAGACTTTTTATATTCACATGTATGTGTGTGTATGTAGATATATAGATAGCATAGCATCAAGTCAGTGATCTGGTCAGTTAAGTAGCAGAGGGTCTTGTTAATCAGTTTCAGCTGCTTTGGTGTTAATGAATTAACAGGTGCATTAGATGGGCAACAGTGAGGCTACCCCCAAAACAGAAATGGTTTTACAGGTGAAGGCCACTGACATTTTTTTCCATACTCATCTTTTCTGGCTATTTTTTCACTAGTTTTGCTTTTGGCTAGGGTTAGTTTCACTACTGGTAGCATGAGGCGATACCTGGACCCTACAGAAGTTGCACAGGCAGTCCAACTCCTCAAGGATGGCACATCAATATGTGCCATTGCCAGAAGGTTTGCTGTCTCCCAGCACAGTCTCAAGAGCATGGAGGAGATTCGATGAGACAGGCAGTTAGGAGAGCTGGGCAGGGCCGTAGAAGGTCCTTGACCCATCAGCAGGACTGGTGTCTGCCAACTAGCAGCAACAAGGTGGTTAAAGTGCACGACAATCAATGGGACCATAAAAAGTTCACCATCCGAAGGCCATCGGTGAGCTGTGGGGGTCAGCAAGGAAGGGGGGGGCACCAGTCCGGTAGAGGAAGAAGTCGGTCAAGTGGCCCCAGGAGATGGGGAGCGTTGGAATTCCTAATGGGAAGATCCATGTCTAGGTAAATTCCTCCCTTGCCGGGCTGGTTGCCATGGATTCAGACTGGTAGGTATGGGGATGGCCATGGAGGATCACCAGTCGGGGATGGCCTTGGAGGAGCGCCAGGCGGGAATGTCCACAGGAGACAAATTGAGTTGAGTCAAAAAATGAAACAGGTAATATTTATACCGCAGGGTGATCCTTTTACCATCCTTATGAACGGAAAGGCTGAAGGGGAAACCCCAGTGATAGGCGAGTTCAGCATCGAGTTGCTGTTCAAGCAATGGTTTCAATGCCTGCCTTTGCATGAGTGCGGCATGGAATGTCCAGGTACAGTGACAGTTTAGCTCCGTCAAAGTCCACATAGGGAATCCCTCGTACATGAATCATAATATGCTCCTGAACAGAATATTTGTGTAATTTGCAGATAATGTCTCTAGGCTTATCCGGGTCATCCGATGGCGATAGCAATCAATCTCCATGTGTGTTGCGGCATAAGATTTACTTGAAGACTACGGGGGGGGGGGGAGAAGGGCACAACTTCTGCTTCCAGTTGCCTAGGCAATTGCATCGGAAGTGGGAGCATGTACCTGTCAAATTCGGGTTGCCAATCTTTATTGGGTAGTGAGGGTTGAAGCCTTAAAGCTGAACATTCCCTTCAGGTGGAGCTCCTTTATAAGTATGACAAATGTTCAAAGTTTAAAAAAAAAATAAAAAAAAAATCAGGAAGTGGGCAAATACTTTTTCACAGCACTGTATATGCTCCCTCAACCGGTGATTTGTTGAATTTGAGATGTGCAAAAATACAAGTTGGGGTGTGGAACTCCTAAGCCCCCATTATCTTTTGGGAGCTGGAGTGTTTCTAGTTTTTCTTAGTCGTTTTTCCTTCAATTGAGATCCCGAAACAGGGAATCTATTTTTTTTTTAAATACCTTGTAGGGAACTCATAGTGGAGTGTTCTGAAAAAGATGCAGCAACTGAAGCATCCACACCATTTTAATGACGTTCACTCGACCTACAACTGAAAGGGGTAATTTGCACCATGCTGAACAATCTTCCATCTTTTCTTCCATCTGGTTAGCAACAGGTCAATATTCTTAGTTGCACAATCTGAAACTGCAATGGAAACATGAAGCCCCCAGATATTTAAAAGATTTAAACATTTTCTGATCAAGAATATAATATTAACTGGTAATTGACTCCTTGACCCTGAGACCTTGGCTTTATAATCTTGCAGTGCTATTGCAGAAATCGAATCGCCGTTTGAACCCATCTGGGATATTCCTTTAGTCCTTCTGACTCAGGTTAGCTGCTCTTTACTGCAAGGAACTTCTCCCGTTACTCCACTGTGGCAAGGTAGTTCATGGCCTCAGCCATCCCTTTTTTTTTTTTTTTCCTAAGGTGGTTTTCTTTGTTTCATCGTAATCAGGATATTGCCAACCTTCTGTCCTTAGGCTACTTTCACACTGATCTGCCACAAAAACACAGCAAAATTGCGTAGGCATTTTTTCTGTGCATTTTTTTTTAAAGAACAGAACAATGGGAAGAGGCGTTTTTGGGGCATTTTTTTTTTTTAACTCCCCAAACATGCCTCCCCAAAGATGCTGAAAGCAGGAGTTTTTACACCGCAAGCGCAACGTCTCACTGAAAACATACATAGATATACATTCACATACACAGGGAAGCAGTTTTCTTGAGCTTTTGAGGCACTTTATTTAATGAAAAAATGCTTGGAAAAACTCCTCATTGTGAAAGCAGCCTAAGCCTCAGATGCTAGGGGGAAAGATTCTTAAGCCCTTAGATGTCCATGCCATCAGGTGTTGCATGAAAAAGACATTGGAAATTCAGTAGTTGGTTTCCTTCTTTGTGCTTCCGGAAGGCCCAAGGAATATTCAGAGCTTCCAATCTATCATCAACCCCTCTTCCTCTTTGGTTTATGGCTTGCTAAGAAATCTGAAGGCTTGACTAACGATGAGGGGTTATGCCTAGAAGGGCATTTCCTGTATTTTTTTTGTCTTTGTAATTTTATATTTATTGTTCAAGACAGTAGATTTACTCATGTTCTCTTGCCTCTGTTCATATGCAGGTCAGCGCCTACGCATTGTAAATATGAACCAACAGAGTGATACAGCAGATCTCTTAGGAGGGTAAGTAAATTATACAGTGTCTCCCCTACAACAGTTCATAGGTTAATCAAACAGTAGTACGTTGATATATAAATAGTTTCAGCTAATGAAATGTAATTCAATATGAGTTGCATAAGATGTTTATATTCATGCAACTAGATAGAGTTGTAAGACTGAAAACAGGTCCAGGAATGTCTGCTGTCATCTTCTTGTGTACAGGTTTTGTGCTCCGTTGCATATCATTTAAAGTGGAGTTACATCCAAAAGGGCAAGCTCCTCTTGTCTGCCTCTACCCCCCCCCTCCTCTGTCACATTTGGCACCTTTTTAGGGGGGAGCGGGTATTTGGTTTTGACAGGTTCCCACTTCTGGCTCAGTGCACTGCAGTGAACTGATCTCGGAGGATCGAGCCCCCCCCTCCTTCCCAAGCAGCCTTTTGGGACACTTCACAGGTCCCAGAAGACTGCAGCCCATTCACATAGCGCAGCGCAATTCAAGCATGTGCAGTTGAGAACCAGCTGTAAAGTTGCTAGGCGTCAATACCAGTTACCCTTGGTCAAGATGGCAGTGCCAGCTCCCGATAACCAGTTGATGAATTGGCTTGAACGAGGACACCACTGGATGCCTGGACAGGTAAGTGCTCAAATATTAAAAGTCAGCAGCTACAATATTTGTAGCTGCTAACCTTTTAAAGAACCTGTACTAAAGCCTGAGACACACAGGTAGTCAACCCACCGGGCTGAACGAAATAAAACTTCAGGAGCTTGTGAGGAACTTTCTCTGTGCTAACTATGCGATGTTAGTACAGCAATCTCCCCACTGAGCTATTGTGTTCTGACGGGGATGCAAATGTCGTTTAGTTTCTGTTGAACTTACCGATATTCGGCCTGTGTGTACCAGTTTTGAGTATTATAGAAACAACAATTGGGGATTTTCTTCTCAAAATTATATATAATGAGGTCTAATGTATACATAGGATCTGGTAACTGAAGTACTATTAATAAGCAAGATTTTAAAATTTTATTAGCATAAAAATATTTTCAGACATATATGCTAATATTGCTTTCTCAAATTTTCCTGAAGTCCGTTTATGGGAACTGTAAAAAGGGACAATCGATTGGTCCCTGTTCACTTATTACAGATTTGTAGGTAAAGAACTTACCTGTGAACAAATCGCTCAGGAAATATGTTCATATATATATATAGTCTAATGTACAGAGTAGGGCCACCATTTGCATCAATGTCGTTCACCTCATAGGGCTTTATTTATATTGCTTTTTGCTAGTCTCCATATACACACATCAATGCTAAAATCTAGTCCATAATGCTGCTTTAATTGTGAGAAATAACACTCAGCTCAGTTTCCTCTTTACAGTTTCTATATGTGACTGGCTTTAGGAAGAAGGCAGTTTTATTTTCCTGATGGCCTTAACCCAGTTAAGTGCCTGGGGTCTGTAGTCAGTTGATCGCGATCTGGGTTTGCTGACCTGCCCTCTCCTCCCAGAGCATCAGTGTGTATTGGGCTGGTGCTGGCCATGGAGTAAGCAGGCAGGTATGGAGAGAGCAGGAGCTGCATAAGCTGATGTTTCCTCTGTAGCGCCGTCTCCTGTCCCAGGTGGAGTGTTACCAAATGCAATTTTTGCCTGGGACCAGGGGCGGACTGACAACTCATGGGGCCCCTGTGTCCTTGCCCAAACTCAAAAAAAGTATGAAAAAGGTACCAGGGGCATTTCATGGGGCCCCCTACTGACCCCGGGCCCTCGGGCAGTGCCCGAGTTTACAAATGGTCAGTCCGCCCCTGCCCTGGGACCTTTCTAGCAGCCTGGAGACAGAGCAATGCCAGCAGAAGCTAGAAAAGGAAAAGGTATTGTACTGTATTAAACCACACATACACTGAGCTTTTGCAGTGGGCATATTAGCACCTACAAAAGAGTTTTCAACTTTTAGGCTGTTTTCACACTGATCTGCAGGAGCAGAGCAGTGCACCTATGGCTTTCTGCAGGCTAGCTGCACTGAGCCGTAGATGTGTATTCTGTCCTGGGGGTTTTGTACGGTCTCTGAAAGCGTACCGAAGCTCCTAAATGCTGAAGGTTTGGTGTGCTTTCAGAAAATTCACCACACAAATGAGATATATTAGAAGTGTAAGGCAATGTGCAGCTAACCTGCAGGAAAGCCACAGCACATCAGTGTGAAAGCAACCTTATAGGGGGCTCAGGACAGGTAAGACCTTGTTTACATTTGCGGTTTGGGGGGGTGGGGTAGTGAAACTCTGTAGTTGACGTGTTCCTCTCCATTTTCCTCCTGCAACCACTGAAAGCCAGCTTCTCCTCCTCTGCCCCCTGACAGCGTTCAGCAGCTTCAGGAGGAAAATGTTCATTATGCTATGCAAAATTAAAAAAGGAAAAAAAAAATTTAAATTCTGAACCATTTCATTGTTGTCCACAACTGGTTACCAGATAACTTAAGTGGTCCTCTCTCTTCAAAAGTTTGTGCACCCCTGATGTAAACATTCATCTTGTAAAACAACTCATTTAAATTAAAATAAATGGAAGGCAAAACATTTGTGTATAAATATAAATTAAACTTTGTGCCCTTTTTTTAAGTGATCACATTCCCTTTGTTCTCAGCTGGGGGTTGTTAGCAGAAGTATCAACTTTGGAGGAGAGCAGGCTGAGTTCCCTGCACAGCTAGGGAACTGACCACGATGTGTTCTTCTTAGTATGGTCAGTTTTTAATAGGAAAGCAGAGGAGCTGGCAGGAATAACAAGGCTATCACACAAAGGAACCAATACAAAGAGAATAGGATACTTTTTCATACAAGTACATGGTTCAGCATGCATATATCAGGAATATGAAATGTTGAGTTTACATACCCCAAGTCCTGATAAATCACTTCGAGCTGGCCTACTGCAGGCTGTGTAAAACATTAAAAATAGGTCCCTCTACTGTGTAAAATCCAGTAGTGCACTATCTCGCCTTGCTCTGCACATGCTCTTTCGCTCTCTCTAATCAGCACTGTGCCTAAAATCAGAGCTGTTAGAGGCCCATCAACTGACAGCATTAAAATTTACGGTCGTTGAAGGGAAGCAACAGGAATGACACTGTAAGGGTAGTATTCTTATCTCCCTGGTATTCTCTCCTTTCTCCCTCATCTGCAGCTTGTGAACTTCAGCACTGTAAAGCTTCTTTCAGCTTCTCCTCTGAGCCAAGACTTACAATCAATCAGAAAGTCAATCAATGCACACATTTTAATTGAAAAACGTGATGCACAGTTTTTTTAGAGCAAGGAGAAGGGAAGAGTTCCCAATAAGGAAGTGACTACTCTGGGCTTCAACACAATGGTGTTCTCCAGCAAGAAAGAGCAATGCTGGAGGCAATTTACAGCACATGCTACTTTTGGTAGCATAATTAATATGGAATGTATTCTTTTGTTAAAGGATAAGTTCACCTTTGGGAACATGTTAATGTTCCACCTGTTTTTAGGGTGGAACATGTAACATGTTTCCAAAGCTGCAGCTGCTGCCCACTGCTCCCCCCTCCTGCTGACAGAAATACAGGGAGACGTTCCCCATACTATCTGTCAGATTTGAAAACAGCGCTGCCCACGTGGTTGCGCAATTAATTCAGAGTTCCGTAAATGAATGCACTACAAGTCCTGACAGCTTTAGCGGCTGTCAGCTTGTAGTTTTCAATGAACTACCATGGCGCTGTGGAATGCCGTGGTGGTAAATTGAATCTTCTTGTAAGTATATCTGCTTACTCATACATCCTGTGTGGGCAAGCAGATATACTGATAGATCTGCAGGAGACCTGCATGGCGCCAGCAATCGGCTGGTGCAATGCTTTACAGGCTCCTGCAGACAAAAATAATAAATGCTCATTTCTCTTATGTTCATTGATGGACACAGCTGCTTCTTTAACCTTAACGAAAACTGGTTTTATAGCCCCACCTACAGGAGTAGGACACTAGGCAGAAAAAAGATTTGGCACCTCCTATGGGGGCAATCCTCTCTGTGTATAAAACCCCCTCTCTGCTATAGGTCTCCTGTCTTTTCTGCCTAGTGTCTCAGGAGTATGGGGGGGGGGGGGGGGGGGGGGGCGTATTGGTCGGCTGTCCTGGAGGCATTCGTGTCCCCTGTGGAGGTGGCACTTGGTCGCAAGGTGAGCAAGAAGCGCCCCCTGCCATCGTCGGATGTTTCCGACACCGAACCAGATCCTGCCGCCATGGGTTCTGCATTTACCGCGGATCCTGGGGACGTATCCCTTGCTTTCTTGGTTGAGAACGGGTCCTCTGCCTATGTTGCCACACAGGAGAAGGCATTCGTAGCAGCACCTATTGATTCGGTGCGTGAAATGCTAAAGATTGGAACCTGCGGGGCCAGCTGATGTGGTACCTGTTCCTTTTGGTACGCACAAGCCGGTGTGGGCTGCCAAGGTTTTTCATTAACCGGAATTTTTTGCCAGATTTTTTAATAAAAATTGGAGTAAGTGGAAGCGTCCGTCTGTGCTTCCCAAACTCTGCGTTCCACACTGTTTCCGGAAGCTGTAGTGACATCACTTCCGGCAGCAGGTGACGTCATCACTGGGCGCCGGGTACACCGGTTCTGATACCCAACTAAGGTGCAGGGCGGACTGTTCAGGCTGCTAGTGCGGCGGTCTTCATCAGCATAGGCTGTTATGGAGAGACCTGTGGCTTTGGATCCTCCCGCGGCTGCATCTCTGGCGGTTGATACTGGGCAAGCAAGCACCAGCACCAGCTCCTCACAGATAATTACAATGGAGAGGGCTCCCATTTTATGCCTGGGTAGGTGTCATCCTGTCACAGCTCCTTGGATGGTAGGCTGTTTCTGACAAAGCACATTTCCTCCCCTTTTTTTGCTACAGTACAGGGTTTGTTGTCTAGTGAGATTTATAGGGGCTCAGGGTCCTTTCTTTTCTGCTGTTATTTTGCAGACTAAAGCTCAGGACAAGGGTCCAGACCCTGGCCCCAAGAGAAGAAAATGTGCTGTTTGTGCAGCCAGATTGGGATCTACTTGGAGCAAGCCTGTGTGCTGGTCCTGTATTAATAAGCTGAGGTAGTCCTCCTTGACAAGACTGTGGCAAATTGCTGTCGTCCGTAAAGAACGAGTTGGTAACCACGTTGAGTTCCTTCAAGACTCTGTAGAAGGATTTAAAAAATTCTACCCCCCCACCTCCTTCCTCAGAGGAAGCCGGCCCTTCCTCAGCCAAGACCCTTACACCTGTCAAATCCAGGCGGGAGGTCCTTGATAGAGCTTTGGGGGTGAACTCCTCTTTGGAAAGCAAAGATAGGGGAACTTCTTCAGAAGAAGAGGAGGGGAGTGTTCTCGAGTGCGAGGTAATCGAGATGCAAGCTCTCTGGATGAAGTAGATGACTTGCTGAAAGCCATTTACAAAACGTTAAAAATGGAAGACAGTCCAGCCCTCCAGACACGACTTAATGTACGAGGGTCTTCAGGAAAAACCCTACGCTTTTTACTCTGTCCATAAATCCCTGAACGAGGCTTTTCAATTGCAATGGAAGGAACCAGAATGCAAACCTCTTTTCTCCAACAGCCTCAAAAGAATATTCCCCTTTGAGGAAGGGATTGAGCATCCCTGGAATAAGGAGCCTAAATTGGATGCACCCTTATCAAGTTTCTAAAAAATCTGACCTTGGGAGTCCTTAGGGACGCTATGGACAATAAAGTGGGAGGTCTTCCTCAACTGGGCTTCGGATTTTAAGATCTTTCCCTATGCTCTTTATAGCTGTTGGGTTACTAGCAGACTCTTCTGTGGAAGCAGTAAGAATGGCGGCCTGATCAGCTCTGGTAAATTCAGCTAGGAGATCACTTTGGCTTAAAACTTGGTGCAGCAGTGGTTCTGGAGGCATCTCACATTCTGCAATAGGTGGAGAGGTTCGTTCCGGCTCTGTCCACCATACACATTCCAGGTGTCGAAAAATGGCAAGCAGATTATCTCAGCCGTCAGAATCTGGATCAGGGCGAGTGGTCCCTACATCTGGAAGTGTTCCATCAGCTCTGCATTCACTGGGCAACTCCAGCTGTGGATCTTCTGGCTTCCCGCCTCGATAAGAAGGTTCCACGGTTCGTGGCACAATCTTTGGATCCCCTGATGATGCGGTGGATGTGCTGGTGGCGCTGTGAGATCAGTACACTTTCATTTATGCCTTCCCACCCCTTTAACTGATTCCTCATCTACTATGCAGCGTAGAGGCCGATGAGATCCCAGTTATCCTTGCTCCGTACTGGCCTTGTCGTCCGTGGTATGCCATCATGGTGCTATTAGTGGTGGATACTCCCTTCGGTAAGACCTTTTGTCTCAAGGGCCAGTCTTCCACCCTGCTTTACCATTGCTGGTTTTGACAGCGTGGCTATTGAGAGCCAGGTTCTGAAGGACAGGGGTTGTCTGGCTCGCTGATTCCGACTATGTTGAAGGCCCATAAGTCTGCCTCCTGGAAGATTTATCATTGCACCTGGAGAGCCTATATTTGTTGGTGTGAATCCTTGGGGTTCCATCCGCGTTCCTTCATTGTGATCTGGGTGTTGGCCTTCCTCCAATGGGGTGTGGATGAAAGGCTTGCATTGAGTACAATCAAGGGTCAAGTTTCTGCTGTGGCTGTTTTATTGCGGCATCCCTTAGCAGCGCAATATTTGGTCTGTACTTTCATTCAGGGGGTTCGTCATGTGATCTCTCCTGTGCTCTCTCCTTTGTCACCGTGGGATTTGAATTTGGTGCTGATGGCTCTTCATAGGCCATAGGCCATTTGGCCTATAAAGGGTATATAAAACCCTGCTTATAAAACACTCTATTTTTCCCACGAATAGAGCTTTCTTTTGGTGGTATATAATCGCCGTGCTTTTTTCACTATAAAAAAAAAAAAAATCGAAAATTGTGAGAAATAATATTTTTTACTTTTTGCTATTAAACATTTCCAGTAAAAATTTTTTTAAAAAATCGAATTTCGTCATAAATTTAGGCTAAAATGTGTTCTGCTACATTACTGTTAAAAAGAAAAAAAAAATCTCAATACGTGTAAATTGGTTTTCGTTATATGGTGGTGTATATATACTGGGATTTTTTTTTTTTTCCATTCGTAATGGCGGCGATCAGTGACTTATAGCGTGACTGCGGCGGGCATTCTGACACTGAGGGGAACTGACTTGGTGTCACTGACATCCCTAGTGGCACCAATACTGTGATCAGTACGAATAAGAAGCACTGACATTGTACAGTACTAATGACACTGGGCAGGACAGGGTTAACATGTGGGGAGATCAAAGGGTTTACTGTGTGCTGTGTTTGTGCTTCACTGTAAGCACGCTGCTTTGCATGGCTCTGCTGTGCAAAACCATGCATAGCAGTGTGCAGGAGCTGACGGGAGGGAACTGTATTGTTTACTTAGTTCTCTCCCTCCGGTAACGGTCCTCGATCACCGGGTGCCGGTGAATAATCACCGGCAGGGAACAGATGATTGACAGCCAAGGCCGTGAACAGCAGTGCAGGTAGTGCAAAATGCAAAATCACATGTGTGTGTGTGATTTTGCACACCCCTACTGCCCTGTAGCAGTATATCTGCTATAGGGCTGCGGGAAAGTGATTAAAGGAGCAGGGCCCTCCTAACCCCCTTGTATTGAACTGTATTGTTGCTGTATTGTCTCCCTTTTATATTGTAAAGTGCTGAGCAAACTGTTGGCGCTATATAAATCCTGTATAATAATAATGAACATTAACTGTGATCAAACTGTAAAGTTTTACTTTGTTATATTTTAGTATCAATAGTACTTTAGTTCTCAGACTTTATTTATGCATTAGACCTCGTTGCCATTCGTTGCATGCATAGCAGAGTTTAAAACTTTCCATTATGTGTTGACACACATAACAAATGTTGCGTGGCTGTATTCCTGTATAGATTCTTTGTAATACTGTTCTGGAACAAACATACCAATGAAGAGGGAGTCAAGTAAGAGGGTCAGCATGACAGCCAGGCAGTTACCTTCAGAGGAGATTAACAGTGGCTATCCTCAGTTTTTCACTCAGCCAGGCCTTTTTTTTTTTTTTTTTTTTTTTTCACATGGTTTGCAATGACTGCTACTTAATGTTTGTTTAGTGTTCATTTTTAGTAACTAGTTATCATTCTGGTATATGAATACTACTGTTTTTTTTCATATTTCTGGTTCTAGTTACAAACCCGTGGATCATAAACTGATATGGCTTCCACTGCGGGAAGATTTTGAAGAGCTTTTCACACAGACGTTCTCTAGGAAGCAGAACCAAACCTTTTTGGGACACATACAGACATGCTATAGGCAAAAAAGGTGGCAAGACTTATTGAAATTAATGCAGCATATTGTGAAAAATGCCATAACGAAAGTTCAAGGTGCTGAGTCTGGTAAGTGGAAGAATTGCTTATTGGAGCAAAGCCATGTAACATTTTACTATCTCAGTTGTACAGGACACAGGCAAAGTATTCATAGACCCTAAGTTATAGGCTTGTCCCTTTTTTTTTTTTTTTTTTTTTTTTTTTTTTTTTTTTTTTTTTTTTTTAATTATTAAACACTGGTAGCTTTCAAGAACATGCCCCTGGTTGTCTCTTATAACCCTTCCACGCTGCTGAGTTTTATTGATGTTGTCTTAAGAGTGATTACTCTGCAGGGGAGAAGAGGTCAATCATCTTAACTTTATCATTTTATTGGTTTATCATCGTTTTCTTCAACCCATCTTTATGGTTGTCTTCTATTACCAATATAGAAGCAGTGCATCCAGTTCAGAGCAACCTTGGTAAAACTTTGGGAGCTTTAAACGGACCCCACGCCATATCAATGGCTTGTAATGTTTCTTTGGACACTGTATCCTTTGCTTACCTTGGCACTTAGTGCTAAACTTTTAGTCTGCAGGGTACTATACAGACCCTGTAGACCCTTTCAGGGGTATACCCATTGTAATAGGTGAAGCATGTACTTTATCTACAGTCCAGCATCGTGAACAAGTCAAGGTTACTCTGTATCTTACCAATACCAAAAAATTGGGCTATGTTTGGAATGTACTCGCTTTATAGTACAACATTTTTAAACTTGGCACTAAAATTTAAACCACTTAGAGCTCTTGGGTGGATGACCAAGTGTGATATCACACCACAGGCTGTACGCTGAAAGGAATGATTTTTTTTTCCCCTCAGAGACCCCCGGTCTGTGGAGAGATTCCTGGTTTATCAGCAGAATTCTGGGAACACCCCTTGAACACGGAAATAATGACAGCTTATGTTCAGAGATGTTCAAAGTTTATTAGACATTAATAAGATTATATAGACTACAGATAATAATAAGGGAGGGGGGAGCGAGTTTCAAAACTGTAACTTGTAAATTTCCATCATGAGCTAACTACATGAAACATAACATATACATTTCTTGGTACAAATTGTTTTGGCTAACTTTCTGGAAAACAGCCAGACAAAGACATTGTCAGGGTCATGTTAGCTTCTGTTGATACATCCTTGAACAACCAAAAACAGTTTCATTAAACTTTTAATATTTCTGCAAAAAGCTAACTTAATACTTAAAATGGCGTACATAATACAAAATGGAAGTTATTTAGAACCATTCATACGCTTTGTCACCAGTTCCACCTAGAGCCCTTTATAAGATACTCAGGCATTTCCTTACACTCTTTTGCCACAAGAATTCGAGCATACTCTACAGCCAGGTTGTTGCATACTCCTTCCGGATGCTCTTCCCCTATAATACTGTGTTTCCCCGAAAATAAGACCGACAGATATATTTATATATTTTTTTTTTTGGCTCAAAAAAAAACGCAAGAGGTCTTATTGTTTGGGTAGGTCTTAGTTTTTTTTAATGCACAGGTGTGGACAGGGGGTATAGAAGTGAGCTGCAGGCAGTTGTGAATGAGGGTTACTTTAGAGAGGGGGCCGGCCGTTGATAGTTGTGAGCTACAGTCAGCTGTTGCAGAGGTGAATTGACAGGTGAGTTTCAGACGGTGCAGAGATGAGCCACAGACAGGGTGCAGGGGTGAATTGCATTAAGGGGATGCAGAGGTGGGTTGCAACTCAGCTCACCTATGCACCCTGTCTGCAACGTGCATGTCAATTTACCTCTGCAACACCTGACTGCAGCTCACCTTTGCATATCCCCCCCCCCCTCCCCCTCCACTGCCCTCATATGGTTGGCTAGCTTTGTAAAACACAGCTATCATCAGCCGCCTCTCTATACTAGCTCCCATGCATTGAAACTTCCATGCATTAGGCTGCAGGACGAGATGCCCTGTCCATAAACACACTTCACACTGCGCTCGCAGATATCTGAACCTTCCCTGTCCCACATTGAGTACAGAGGTAGGGAGGTTCTGTGGGAGTGGATGGTGCTGTCACTTACAAGGGGGACTGACACTTGCAAACACAAAAGCTGCGCTTCTGTGTTTATATAAGAGACCATAGATATTGGTATGCACAGGGCCAGTGCCGGAGGTGGTGGAATGGCATTCCGCCACATTCCGGCTGGAAAAAAAGCCCTGGTCACAACTAGGTCTTCTTTTCGGGATATTTCTAATACTTTAGCAACTCCCAAAAATAGTAACAGGTCTTGCTTTTGGGGTAGGTCTTATTTTCAGGGAAACAGGATACATACCCTATTCCATGGTTAAGCTACAGGGAAATACCCTGAATGATAGTTATGGCGGTAACAAGGTAAGTAATTTTAAGGTAAGATGCACACTTAAACCTCTTGCAAACATTTGCTTTGCTGAAGACTCTCGCAACAAAAACCCCGATGACGACTATTCCCTTGCATTGGAGCAGAATTCTATTTTTACATTAGTCTCTGCATCTGATTCTAGCACTATTTCAGTCACACAGGACAAGAAGTGGCCTGCTTGATAAGTTGAATTTCCCTAGTTGTATTCCTGAACAGCCCATGAGATGTAGAGTGCTTTCCACCGGAACAGTTAACGTGTTACCCGCAAGTAAAAGGCAGTCTTTCTTCAGGTCCTCAGTTCAGTTTGTGTTTCCGCTGGATTCTAGTGACCTGTTATTCTAATCTCGGGCTGTCTATGCTTGAATTCTGTAACTCCTTTTCCTTTTTTGCCCAGCCACAAAACCTCCTATCTACAGGCAGGTGGTAGCTGTGGATCCTTTGCTTTTAGTGCCTGAGGAAGGCCGATACTAGTGATACTTTTCCGTTTTGCTGACCGCTCCTCCTGTGGCTGGCACTTTTGTGGTTGTTTCCTTGCAGGGGCAGAGCTTCTGTGCTCTAGACTGGTTGACTGGAAGATCAAAGCAAAAAGCCAGGTCAAAAATAAGCCACGCCAAAAAGGCATTGGACAGGCCATAAAGGCAAGGTGGGTATGTCAACCCTTCTCTGCTCAATAAGCTACAGTGACTTGGTTTCCAGTAGGAAGAAGTTTAGGAGGGTTCTTGCCACAATGGAAATTAATCGCCTCCAATAGATTCATTCTAGACCTGGTCAAAAGAGGTTACAGGCTGCAGTTTTGATTCGCTGCCACCCTCGAGTTCTTTAGTTACCAGGCTCCCCAAAGATCCTGAGAAGGCAATGGCATTATGTCTACAGGTGGGGAGATGATCTATCAGAGGGTGTTGGTCCATCTTCCCCTAGAGCAGAGAGTCCAGTATTTCTATTAACACATCTTTGTAGTGAAGAAGTATTCCTGGAAATGTTGGCTAATTTTAAGTCTAAAGCCTTTAAACAAGTCCATAAAACACAATACTTTTCACATGGAGTCTGTCTTCTCACTCGAGTCTATCCCCCAACCCAGTTTTTGCATGGCTGCTATGCGGGACCTGAAGGATGCTTGCTTTCACGTTCCTACACATTCTGGTTTTTCAGACAATTCTGTGGATAGCAATCATGATAGGAGGCAGGATCCATCATTATCAATGCAGGGCACTTCCTTTTGGGCTCTCCTCTGCTCCAAGTTTTTCTAAAATATTGGAGGCTCTAGCACCCTTAAGATTAAGGACGATCATCACTGTCTCCTACTGATTTCTGGGTTATGAAATTAATTCCAGAGATCAAAAATTTCTTCCCACAGGAAGAGAATTACCAAGAAAGACCAGCAGGTTGCACACAAACCAGCTGGTTTCTATAACTGTGGTCATGGCAGCAGTGATTGCTTGCATTTAAGCAGTTCATTGGGCTTATCTTCACCAAAGACCCCTCCTGTTATTTCTTCTGAGTTTTTGAATGGCTCCACAGAGATCCTGGACAGTTCAGTAAAAAATTCTGACAACAGTCAAACATGTCCTTTAGTGGCGGAGATCCCAGGTGCATCTTTCCAAGTAGAAAGATGAGACTGCGCTACTACCTCCCTCGATTACCGTTCGTTCCTGGTGCTCAGACCTGGAGACTGCCGATTCCCCCACAGATCAGAATGAAGACATGAATGGTCAGCACTCAGGAAAACATCCAAACGTATACTGCATTATAGGAACATGTATATCGCTAAAAATGGCCAGCGCATTTCGGACAATTAGTCCTTAGTAATGGCTAATACAAAATATAAAACACACTTATATAGTTGCAAAACAGGTCACATGGTAACCCAATGCAGGTGGACTAAAAATGCTAAAAGCAAAAAATAATCCAACCTGGCTTGGTTCACTGGAACACTTGACAAGTAATTAAGGCACAAGTACCGTAATCAATATAAATGTACATAAATACTATTTATCTTTATAAAAATGTTGTTATAATTATGAAAACTTTCTTAAAAAGAGAACCAGAAATGCTAGTAGTGTCATTTCAGAAAAAGGTGCACATTCAATCCTTATGGAAAGCGGGTCTGTAACCTGAAAATCCCAAAATCCTCACATTATAGGACTCTGTGATGTCTACCACCACCTCTGTCACGAGGCAAAATCCTCTCAATATCACAAAATTAAAAATGTTACCCCTATGTACATCTCTAAAATGTCTCGATACATTAGAAACATTCCTAGCATTAAAGTGTTACTAAACCCACAACAGTAAAATCAATCTGTATATGCAGTAAAGCATTCTTGTTATACTCTGCTTGGAACCTAAGGGGTTAATCCTCTGCACTGTGTGAAATTGCTGTTTGATCCTGATTTCTCTGATCCTTCCCTTCTCCCAGTGCCCCCCCCCCCTTTTCTCCTGATAAGACCTATCATGTGGAGACACTCTAGCAATACACACCAAACTGAGCATGTGCAGAGAGGTGGGGTTTTTTGTTTTTTTTTCCCTCCTTGGGAGAGTGCCTATGATCAGCATAGGGCCAATCAGCACTGTCCAGATAGAGGTCAGGGGTTCTACATCCTCCTAGAGCAGGAAGAAAACTCCTCTCACAATCTTTAACCAGTGCCCTGCTGAACACTGATAAAAGTCACAAGACTGCTGTAACTGC